ACAGGATCCCTATGTAGTGCTCCCAACTAGAGTGGTCAACCAGTCCTTTGGGATATGGTTGCTCAGTTCCTTCATCTCTCCTTCCCTTGGGAGGCTCTTGGTACCATGTCAGGTACTTTTACAAACACTGGGTAACTTGACCACAAGTTCTTGTGACCTTGTCAGTTAATAAGAAATGCCAGTTTAAATATATTCATTAAAATGGCCTAGACAGGGAATTCTCAGCCCCTTACTATGGCATTAAGAGTCATTTGGGAGATATACTCCTTAGGATCTAGCTTCAGTCGTATGTAAAACAATTTCAAAATAATTGTAGCTTAAACAAGATAGAAAGAAACTTATTTGTCTCTCATCAAAAAAAATCAATCTAATATAGAGGCTCTACTTTATGAAATCATCTGGGACCCCGGCTCCATCTGTCTTAAGGTTGGGTTGTTACCTGCATCTCCATGTCCAAAATGAACCCCTCATGCACAGTCCAAGCAAAAAGACGTAAAGAAGGGAAAGCCAGATGTGTGTGCCTTGAAAGATGCAACCCCAAACCTACCCGGCTCACTTGCTTTTGCATACCTCTTGCCAGAACATTATCTTTGGGTACATATAGATACAAAGGAGGCTGGGAAATGTCATCTTTATTCTGGGTAGCCATGTGTACAGATAAAATTTGGGAGTCCTAACATTACAAGAGAAGGCAAGATGAATTTGATATCTACCAGTCTCTGTCACATAGGATAAAATAAGGACCTTGATTCTAAAGAAGGCATCAAAATGATAACCAGTTCTGTCTTTTACTTTCATATGTGTGTCTCTCTATTTTCCATTAATTCACATAGGCTTCTTAAATTCTTTTTTATGTCCATCTCAGCTACCACTTTGTACCACACAGAGTTCAACCTGCTGTGAAACCCACTCTCTAAAAAGCAATTAGTTTAAATCCATTCAAATAGATAATACTCTTTTTTTTTTTTAAAGGAAAGGATAGGATAGGCTAACACCTGTAATCCTAGCACTCTCAGAGGCAGAGGCAAGAGGATTGTTTGAGCTCAGGAGTTGGAGATCAATCTAAGCAAGAGAGAGAGAGAGAGAGACACCCTGTCTCTATTATGAATAGAAAAATTAGCCAGGTGTTGTGGCAGGCACATGTAGTCTCAGATACTTGAGAGGCTGAGGCAAGATGATCACTTGAACTCAGGAATTTGAGGTTGCTGTGAGCTAGGCTAACACCAATTCTAGCCTGGGCAACACAGTGACACTCTGCTTCACAAAAAAAGGAAAGAAAGAAAGAAAAAAGGAGATAATAAACCCAAATGTTGGCATTGATCATAATGGAGTAATGAGCTTTTGGACCATTTTTACTTTAAAAAATAAACTTCATATATTTTTAAGAAAATAAGTTATTTCTATTTTCAAATAATAAAATGAGAGACAAGAGTAAAAGTATATAGTTGGAAGTGAGCTGTCAAGTACCCTGGCAAGTGGGAGATTTGAGGAGATATGAGTGCTATGGAGAAGAGACATGAATTGAGACATGCCAAGAAATGGCAGGGAAGAGCTGTTGTTGATTAGTGGGGAGGGAAGATGTTCAATTATTTTTCTCTGGCTGAGTGTCTGGATATCAGTCTCTGTTAAATAAAGGCAGGCACCTGTACCATTTTGACAGCCGGAGTTGGCATTTGGCAGTGTGAAATGAAATCAGCTATTATTATTTTAATGGCATTTGAACTTTTAGTCTGAATTTTAGTTGCTGGGTAGAAAGGCTTTTGCTTCTGGTTTAAAAGGAAAATGAGACATTAGCAAATACTTCTGTTAGTTTTGGTGTTTTTGAAATTGTAGTATCACTGACTCTGCCTCTGGTGACTAAGATAGGCTTTTGAAAAACATTGGCTGGCAGTGGTAAATTCTTGTCTTTTAGAAGAGTTGGAAAGCCAGAACTACTGGGACTGATGTAGCATAGTTCCCATAGCTGATGCCAGCTGGACAGGGAGCCGCAGGCAGGTTCTTAGCTGCATTAGATAAATCTCACTCTGGTGCCCCGGCTGGTGTGCTGTACCCTCAAGTCTAGCTCACAGCAACCTCAAACTCCTAGGCTCAAGAAATCCTCCTGCCAAAGGCCTCCAGAGTAACTGGGACTACAGATGTCTGCCACAATGCCTGGATAATATTTTCTATTTTTTAGTAGAGATGCAGTCTTCCTCTTGCTCAGACTGGTCTCAAATTCCTGAGCTCAAGTGATCCTCCCGCTTGAGCCTCCCACAGTGCTAGGATTACATATGTGAGCCACCATGCTGGGCCTGCTTTGGAGAATTTTAATATTACATAGATAGATACTAGATTAAAAAACAAGTGCAAGGATAATTGCAATGTGTCCTAAAAGTGTTAGAGTGGTGTTTATTTTCCTAATGTATCAGAATTTGCATGGATTAAGAGTGATTTCTCTTAGTTCCTTCTCAAGTCTCCTCTTGCCTCTTCTTGGGATCCAAGATTCATCCAAATATCCCTTTAACGCAGCAGACTTTACCCTTGATTCTCTCAAACCCTATTTTGCAAATAAACACTGACTGGTTTGTAGGAGAATGAACACCATGCTTATAAGAATTGTCACTGGTTCTTGAGCCAAATGCTGAGAGCAGGACAGGCCTAGGGATGTTTTGCAGCTTGAGGACAAGCCCTCAAGCAACTTAGTGCTCTAATGAAATGAGATTGGTTGTTCATTAGTAAGCAGGTGCTGCACCTTGAGCATGTGTGGTGCTTGAGGGTGGGGGTCAAGCCCATGGGGAGAAAGAGCCGGTAGCTATCCTTAAGCACGTAGCCCTTGTATGGGATTACTGGGTACTCCCCACACCTGTTATAGACTATTTCGATAAAAAGCCACTGAGAAGGTTACTCAAGACTCCCCTGCACCTCTGGTGAGCCTCACCTTTTGCAAGCTTGTACTTTCAATCCGCCTACTGGCTGTTACCTGTGTGTGGTGCTGGCGACATGGCGGCTCCGACACTGGTTTATTATAAGGGATATTACAAAGAATACAGGTGGACAGCCAGATAAAAGAGATGCCTAGGGCCTGGTGTGTGGGGAGGGGCACACAGCCTTCATGCCCTCTCTTTGGACATGCCACCCTCCAAGAACCTCTGTGTATTTAGCTGCCCAAAAGTTTCCTAAATATTTTTAAAATATGTTTGAGCTATTTTTTTTGGACTATATTTTTCTTAGACTTTGTAAAAATACAATTGGAATACAAATGAAAACTTTTGTTTAAAGTCACACTGACTACATTTCAAACATGAATGCTTTCTTTCAAAAATGAATAATTTTAAAGTAGGAATAAATGATATTTTTTTCCCAAGGGTACAGTGTCAGGTAAGCAGCTCAAGTCAGGTGGTGATTGAGGAATGGTCAAAGGTAGGAAGGAGGACATGAGGACCGTTGTTTGCTGGGGGGTTTCTGAAACGATAGAGGAAGGAACCCTTTTGTTTGGTTCCGTAGGCACAGGCCCTGGAACCAGTAGAGGGCAGCATGCTAAATTGTATTTTTCTTCTCCCATTCCTCTCTATGCCTAAGAATCTGAGCCAGAGGGTTTCACCCTGGTAGTATTCTAAACATTGCAACCTCTAGATTAACTTAGTTTATCCTCCTGCCCAGTAGTCATTGGTTCAGTGAAAGACGTCTTAGACAGCTACAGTAAGGACACCTGCCTTTGAATGCTGGCTAGGAGACATCATATGTGCCTTTAACCATATCACTTCATTTCTCTTTTCTTTTTCATTTCCTAATCTCTGGAATGAGTGATTTGAAATAAATTTTAACAATCACTTCTCATCCTAAAGTTCAGTTACATTTTTCTCTTAGTTCCTTTCCAGAGTACAACTTGTTGTGGTCTTGATTTATAAGTTTGTATACAGATTCATTTTACAGTCATTTAGTAATACATCAATGGAAATATGATTATGCAGGTATTATTATCTAGGTGTTGAACCCCATGTTAGTAGAAACACAACAAAACCAGAATGAAAACAAAATGGATGTGGGGTCTGGGAGTGAAAATGAGAAAAGGTGAATAATGGACTAGATTGTGGTTACATTTTGCTTAAACTATAGTGAATGTGATGATAACAGACCTGTCTGGTATTCAGAATTTCCACCTAAGAGAGAATGTTTGGTCTTCCTTTGGTCATGATCATCTGTGAAGTTTGTAGATAGATAGAACAGTTAGTTTTAGCTTAATTATGAGAAATATACTGTGGTACAATAATGGAAATAATGTTTTAGTGTGAAGATAGCTTGGAATCTGGAGGTCTTGTGGTTGGATTAGTAATATGTCTGATTTTGATGATTTCTCAGGAGAAGGCATACATATAAGATGATTTTCCCACCGCTTGGTGAACCTTTGGAGACTCACATTCTGTTCCTTTGGACAGCAGCAGGACTAGCTGAATTGCATTTCTATCCTCCCTATTTCTAATCCTCCCTTGGGGCAACAGAGGAGAAAGTGGGCTCATTGAACTACCAGAGTCTGCAAGCAGGAATACAGAGTCTCTCCTCAGGAACAATGATTTCCAAAGATCACCCATGATTTTTAATTTTTTTTTTTAATTACAAAGTACTACCATTAAAGATTGCCAAATATTTTCTCCTTCTGTAAAAGTACTATTAATTCAAATAGGTAGCTTTATTTACCTACACCACAGGGCAGGTACCATCATAGTAATAGAAATAGATTCACTACCCAAACAGGAGCTGAGGGTAGTCATTGGCACTGTGGCCTTTAGATAAGTAGCTGGATGCTTATTGGACACCAGCCCCTATGTCCTCCCACTCAGGATGGATCTTTGACCATAAAGAATGGCAAAAGCTTTGTCCAGCTTCATTCCCATTTATGTTCCTTTCCTCTGCTTTGTTTTATTCCAGTTTCATTTGGGGGGATTAAAAAAAAAAAAAAGGAAGATCCAGAGGCTACTTTCAGCAATCAGACAGATTTATTAGGTAAAGACCATGGGTAACATCTATCCTGAAGGGGGAAAAATACAATGGAAATGGAAGATGCCAATCTGGATACATCTGCAGTTCATTGGCAAGACAAACCACATGTATGTAGGAAAATGCTCAGAGGCAAAAACAAACAGGTGCAATCAGTCCAGCTGTGCTGAGCAATGGTGCAACACTCAGGGACCCTGAGGAGAAAAAGCATGTTTGGGAGCTGGGTGGGGATACAGTGAACATTAGCACAGTACAGAAATGGATGATAGTTGAAGCTAAGTGCTATTTGAGGGGTTTGAACATTAGGATGAAGGCTGAAGGGGCATGAGGCTGAGATGGTGGCTGATACAGTAGTGATATCATTGGATGTTTCCTGGGAATGCCTTTCAAGTGGAGACAGGCTAGATCAAAAGGAAGAGGAGAGCTAGAAATGTGGACTCAACAAATCGAGGTTGGAATGACCTCCAGGCAAGGGAGAAATGGAAGGGGGCAGAGAGAGGAATGGGGCTTAAGGAAAGACTGTATAGACAACTGTTGAGTTTTGTACAAAATTCTCTCCTCTATCACACTTCTGTTGGACCCTCCAGGCCTGCTCATCTCTGCCAACAGCTCAGCTCCCACAGAAGTAGGGCCAGTCTCCTCTATTCTATAGGACATGGCCTAGAAAATTTGAGATATGGACCCTAAAAACTCTAAGGGTAGGACAGATATTCTTTCTGGGCCTGGGTTTAGCTCACTTTCCTCTGTCATTATATCTCCTCCAAGTTCCTTTATGGAATTTTGACCTGAGACTGTCTTTTCCCACCACCCTTTGGGTTTTCTTCCCAAAAACTGTTCATCCATATACCCCTATTTTGGACATGAAAACATTTCTGCCACAACCCATGCCACCATAGCTGGTCTTAATCCCTTCCTTAGTTATCCTTTGAGTTTGTTCCAAGTCCTTCTGCATAGGTTCTGGCCTTAAAGGATAGATCACTAGAAGCAGCTTCAGAGTCACTTCTCCATCCCCCAAATATTTGTACAGAAACAAATTAGGATGGTCCTACTCCCTACTCTCCCTAAGCAGAAGCAATGCAAGCTTCACACAATGAATTAATCTCTACCCAACAGGAAGAAACAGGAGTTGGGTGAGGCTCAGAATGGAAGAGAGAGGTAAGAACAGAGGAAAACAACTGAGCTAGGATACTCCTTAAGGTGCCTCTTGCCTGGATGGCTTGGGGATTAGCTCAGAATGGAAAGTGTCTGTAACCTGTGAGTCCTCCCCCATGGGGTACAAGGCGATCTCCTTTGAAAGGTCCTGGGCACTGTCCATGACTGTGACCACCTCAGGCCCATCAGCAAGTGGGCAGATGGTCAGGGGCTTGTCACCAGAGGACCAAAGGCAA